CTGGGCTGCCAAACTGCCTGCAGGGTTTCCACACGTCTTCAGAGAAGGCAAAGGCCCAGCCACTTAGGAGTCGGGAACCACAACTGGCCTGGCCGGACGTCCCCCCTGCCCCTCTCCGCCCGGGGAAGCCCATCCCGCTGGCTCCCTGTGTGAGAGGGGAGCCGAGTGTGGGCCTCCAGCCTCCTCCGGGTTTCCGGGAGGCCCGCCTCTGCCAAACCAAGATTGGGGAAATCAATTAGAAGTTCATAAATTACCACCCCGGAGCGCTTTGAAACCATTTGAAGAGTTAATCAAACAAGTTCATGACATCAACACCATCGTAGAAGGAATATTAAATTACTTTTTAAATGAAGGCTTTTCTGTTTTTTTAATAAAAGGATTTTATATTAATTCACATAATTGCCTCCTGTTAACATACTTGCCAGAATCCAAAAGGGGAAAAAAAAAATCTGTTAAACTTGGAATATGTCTGATACATTAGGAATTAAATTAGAGGCGACAAAAAATTCCTGGGTTTTCTCGTCCAAGTTTTAATTTTTTAAAAATCCACAACTTTTATTTCTTAGTTGGGATCATTTTTGTAGATTTAAAATGCATAAAGACAAGCACTGACTTGTAGTAAATTAAAAATGTGTATGTATTTATATATAGACACTGCTGCCCAATTCCACCCCTTCCCACATACCTCAGCAGTAGGTATTGCTCTCCTAACAGAGCAATATACACAGCCGCAACCATGTTTTTACTCTACCCCCTCTTTCAAAGCACATTCCAGGCCCATCTTGGGTGGTGTCATGCAGTAAATGTGCTACGTGTGCACTTAAACACAGAGTAACTTTCCGCGTGATTCTCGCGCGTTAGGAACATAAATATGCAATGTGTGTACAGGGATGCATAGATACAGAATGCCTTCAAAGGGAGAGGAGAATTTTTAAAGGATTAGACTATGAACGGTTCTACTGGACCAAAAACCTCAAGAAGGCAGAAAACCCTCTCTGGCCCAGCCCCAGCCTATACAGGACACCATAGTACAGCTCTGTAGGCAGGGCCAGGCCTAACTTCTGAGGTAAAGTCAGGGAGGAAATAAAGCCCCTCACTTCCTATTCCCACCTGTGACCCCACTGATATCAGCTGACTTAGACTAAACTGAGACCAGCGTAAGCAAAGTCAAGGACACTGGCTCTGACACTGTGGGAGTGTGGGGTTGGGGTGAGGGAAGGGGTGCTGCCCTCTTCATCTGAAGTCAGAGGGGGAGGAAGTTTCCCTCAGAGATCATTTTTTTTTTTTTTTTTTGGTTTTTGATTTTTAGTTTTTTAGAGACTAGAGTCTTGCTGTGTCACCCAGGCTGGAGTGCAGTGGCATCATAGCTCACTACAGCCTCGAACTCCTGGAATCAAGCAATCCTCCTGCCTCAGCACCCACCCACCCCCCTCCCCCCGCCGAGTAGCTGGGACTACAAGCACAAGCCACCATGCCTGGCTGATTTTTCTATTAATAATTTTTGTAGAGACTGGGGATCTCACTATGTTGCTCAGGTTGGTCTTGAACTCCTGGCCTCAAGCCATCCTCCCTTTTCAGCCTCCCAGAGTGCTGGGATTACAGGCGTGAGCCACCAGTGGTGCCCAGCCTTCGGGGGTGAATTTACCCAAAAGCTTCAGAACCCCACATTTGCACGGACCTCTTCCAAGGCTCTGTGTCTATTTGGTTTTCTTTTTTTTAAAGAAATTGTAACCCTGGGAGGCCAAGACAGGAGGATCGCTTGAGCCCGGGAGTTTGAGGTTGCAGTGAGCTAGGATGATGCCACTGGTTTCCCAGGAATCACAGGGGACTAGAATGACCTTCTGACACAACCTAGGCCTGGCTGCTGGGAGACCCCAGGGAGGACGCACCTGCCTTTGGGGGACTCTTCCTTAATAGGAGGGTGCTCAGTGTCCTGGAGAGGATGTGAGGAACACGGGCGGACCGTGTCCTCGGGGTGCGTCAGCCCACAGTGTAGCGTGAGCGCCTGCCATGGCGAGCGTCCCCTAACACTGGACTTCCCCTGGGTTTGGGCTTTTCCCCCTCATATGCTCAAGTAATACACGTCTGTCACAGAAAATTTTAAAAAGCTAGCTACTTCTAAAAAAAAGAAGACAAAAGTCACGTATAATTTCATCACCCTACAACGAGCATACAGCCGGTGTTAATACTTTGGTGACATGCGTGTTTGTAAAAGGACGGGATCATTCTGTATACGCTATTTCGTAAACTTCTGGTCTCTTCTCTCCAGTGGTGGAAGCTTCTCTTCCTTTGATTTCTTGAAATCACCACAAACATGGCTGTTGTGTGTGACAGTTTCGCCAAAGGTTTAGGGTCACGCAAGGGCTGACGTGGCTGTGGGGCCCCGCGACACTGAACGCTGGGAACCCCTGTCTCAACGGTCCTGCGGCTGTTTCTCCCCTGGAAGCTCCCCATTCGGTGGTCTCGGGGCCCCAAGCCCTCCTCTCCCCCGTCCCACCACGGGGCCCCCTCCTGGAATGTTCTAGGAAACTCAAAACTCTCTTGCTTTATTGCACACAACAATTTAGCGCTCTTTGTTTCACTCCACCACTCTCAGGACCTATCTTTTCCCCATCAAAAGGATCCTCAAAGGGTGTTTGTTTTTTGTTAAGCAAGAGGCCTCTACCGTGGGGTCTTCGAAGAGACGGACTTCCCCGCCACGCTCTCATTACCAGCCTGGCTCCCCGGCCACGCTCTGCGGGCTCAAGGGCTCCACTTGGAGGTTTAATTTTTCCCTGAAATGAATTATGCATCTCTCCATGCCGGGTCCCCCATCTGCTGCCTTAGAAAGCGAAAGAGTTCAGCTTGGGGCTTTTTGTTTGTCTGTTTTAGAAAAGCATCTTTACCTCTCTAGTTATAGCTCCATTTTATCAAACAAGACACCGAAGCTCAGGGGAGGATGAGAGGTGTAGGTCTGAGGGTCCCCAGTGGTTGCAAGTTAGACCAGGAATCGCAAATTTGAAGACACCAGCAGCTTCTTGCCCAGACTGTCCTGTGTGGCCAGCACAGTTAAAAAATATAGACATGGTTATTTATTATAAAATATGGTTATTTATTAAAAGAATCCCAAAATAGAAAACAGAAAAAAAAAATCTCCTTGAGTCCTGTCACTCACCCATAGTAACTGACATTTTGATGTATTTTTTTCTAGTTTAAAAAACAAGAAAACTATCTGAAGTTTTTTGTTTAAATTTTTTTTTTTTTTTTTGCATAAAGTAAATTCATGGGCCGGGCGCGGTGGCTCACGCCTGTAGTCCTAGCATTCTGGGAGGCTGAGGCGGGAGGATTGCTTGAGGTCAGGAGTTGGAAACCAGCCTGAGCGAGACCCCGTCTCTACTAAAAATAGAAAGAAATTAATTGACCAACTAAAAATATATATACAAAAAATTAGCCAGGCATGGTGGCACATGCCTGTAGTCCCAGCTACTCGGGAGGCTGAGGCAGGAGGAGGCTCGGGAGGCTGAGCCCAGGAGCTTGAGGCTGCTGTGAGCTAGGCTGACGCCATGGCACTCACTCTAGCCAGGGCAACAGAGTGAGACTCTTGTCTCAAAAAAAAAAGTAAATTCATGGAGTCAAAATTACAGTTTTGAACTCAGATGAAAATCATTCCTCCTTGGGGACAGGAAACCTTTAACCAAACGCAAGCTGTGCCATGGAGAAATCTGAAATGGAGTCTGAGTTGACGAGGGGTCCTGTGCCGACAGCTCTTCAAAGGCAAGGCCACTATTTCACGGGAGGAAGTGGCAATCCAGGCCTGAGGGTCAAGTGCTGCTTGGCCTCTTGTATCCTCTGTTTTCACAGTATCTTTGTTTTTTCTTTTTTTAATTTAAATTTTTGTTTTTAATTGACAAATAATAATTGTATATGTTTATGCAGTACAATGTGATGTTTTGACATATGTATGCCACAGTATCTTTAAATGTTGTAAAATTAGCAGTATCTTGGTTTGGTTTCCCTCAAAAGCCGGCCTTGTGACCAGGGTTTGGGTGCACACAGTGTATTTTCCAGGTGCTCCGGGGAGTGTGGTGTGGGGTGCAGAGCGCCTGGGAGGGAGGGAGCCGGTGACGGGTGTGCTAGCGGGCCCGGCACACTGGGGAGACTGCGCAGGACATACTTTAAAATGGGCCCACTCAGGGTTGAAGAAGCTGGGGTGTTCATCCCCCAACCCCTGTCCCTCTTGGGGATAACTTCCGCAGGTGTTAACTCCCCACACTTCGGGCCCGGCCAGCACAAAGACCAGAAAATTCCCTCAAGCGGGGAAACCCAAGTGCCAGGGCTGGGAAGCCTTTTGTGTAGAAAGGAACCGTCCACTTCTGTGGCAGAGACTTGACCTGAGGAACAAGACAGGCAAGGATAGCATCTCCTACTGCCGCCTACCTTTTTTTTTTTTTTTCCATTTGTTTTTTTATTTCGGCATATGATGGGGGTACAAATTTTAAGGTTTCAATAAATGCCCTTTCCCCCCTCCCCCCACAAGTCTGAGTCTCCAGCATGACCATCCCCCAGATGGTGCACATCTCACTCATTATGTATGTATATACCCGCCCCCCTCCCCCCTCCCACCTGCCCAATACCCTGTTACTGTAGTGCCTATGTGTCCACTTAGGTGCTGCTCAGTTAATACCAGTTTGCTGGTGAGCACATGTGGTGCTTGTTTTTCCATTCTTGGGATACTTCACTTAGTAGTATGGGTTCCAGTTCTAACCAGGAAAATATAAGATGTGCTATATCATCGTTGTTTCTTAGAGCTGAATAGTACTCCATGGTATACATATACCACATTTTATTAATCCATTCTTGGATTGATGGGCACTTGGGTTGTTTTCTTTGCAATTATGAATTGTGCTGCTATAAACATTCGAGTGCAGGTGTCTTTTTTTATAGAGTGTCATCGGATCTTTTGGGTAGATGCCCAGTAATGGGATTGCTGGATCAAATGGGCATACCTTTAAAATTCAGTAGATTTCTCACAAAAATCTATATGAATCACAAAAACAATTAATATCAGAAAATCTGGGCTTAACATTCCCACGTGGAATGGCAAGCTGCTGGCCCCCTTCAGAGGAGGCATTTGCTCTCTGGTGTGCCACACTCTCCACCGCTCCCTAATGTCTCATGCCTCAGGTCAACAGGGTTTTGTTTGTTTGACTGATTTTTTTAATACCCAACACACTTGCTGCCTCTGTGTTACCAGCCTGCCCCTCCACCAAGGAGCCTGAGTTTGCCACCCTCTAAGGGGGAGGCAGGCTGATGCTACACACAGGCCAAGTCGCCTTCAGAGACAACATTTGATTTCCCGGGACCAAATCTTTAAATATGAAGCTGTAACAGGAACCTGGAGGCCTCTCTTGACAGCCTGCCCAGCTCTCATTATGACATTTAGCCCGTGATTGATATTGTGTGTGTCATTGAGACCTTGGCAGTTAATCTCTGGGTCGAATCTATGGAAACCAAACACAGCAGATTTGTCTTCCCCTTCCACTTTGGCTGTGATCTGGGAAACAGACGCTCCCGGCCTCTCGGAGAACTGGAGAAGTGGGAGCCGTGCGGAGAGCGATGCACACAGGCCGCCTTCAGGATTTGGAAAGATTACAGGTCTGTGGTTTCTGGACGGCTCCGCGCTTTGTTCTCTTTCCCCATCAAATCTGCACGCCGGAGGATAATAGATCCCAGAGCTCCCTCTGCGTGCCAAGCTGCTCTGGGCAGACCGCACCACTTCCTCTTCTGTCTGGAAATCCAGCCGGGCTTTCGGCAGCGGCAGCGCAGAGATGAGGACGGGGATGGTTCCCTCCGCCGCCGTGTAATGAGGGAGGGGCGGCCCCACCGAGGGTGAGGTCAGTCTCAGTGATCAAAGGAGGCAGATGGGGGTTTCAGAAATGGAATTTGCTCCAGCGTCTCCCTAAAATCACCTCTTCTGAAGCCCCCGCTAGTAGCAGGCAGGGTTCGAGATGGCCTGAACTACACGTTTAGGTACACGGTGCCCACACATTTAGGTGTATGGTGCCCCCAGCTTCTACTCACTTCGAGCAAGAAGAGTGGGTGCCATGGATGGGCAGAGCTTCGGACCTCTCAAAGTCAAGGGCCCCTGTGGGCCGGAAGCCAGGAGAGCGAGCGCCATGCTCTTAGGAGAGGAGGGGGCTGTGCTGGTTCCTGCAAGAGAGGAGTTTGGCTGCTCCTTGAAATAATTTCTCCGCCTGGCCTGGACTCACCGAGAGGCAGGCCCCGGAGTGCAGTGTGGCCCTGACAACCACCCCATACTCTGCGCCTTCCTCCCCTGCACCCTCCTCCAAAGCAGCCCAGAGGCGCGGCCATGCCTCGCGGCCCTCAATGGTTCATTCACCCCTCAGTCATTCCCTGCCTCCTTCCACTCCTTCACGAGTGCCTTTACCACCTTTCTCTCAACTCCACAGCTCCGCGGCCACCTCCCGGGCAATCGTCGTCAAACCTCAGTGAGCATCTCACGCACTTGGGAGCTAGGTAGAATACCGACGGGTAGGCCCCCCGCCCTGGTCCAGCGGACAGCCCAGGAATCTGTATTTGCAGCCAATGCCAGGGACTGCCAGAGGTGGTCCTCAGACTACCCTTTGAGAGCCTCCAAAGAAGGGCCCCTCGGAGCCCCTTGTTTCCACCTCCGTCGCAGGAAGTGGGGTGTTGCAGGAGGAAGTCACAAGTCCCGGCTGCCCACCACCCCACAGGCGCACACTCTAGCCGGGGATCCTTCAAGTCATCTACTATGGACTTGGGAGAATCAAATTCCCCAAAGCAGTGGTTTCAGCCCTTTCCTTTTCTTTTTAAATTTTTGTCATGGAGAATTCCAAACACACCCCAAACCAGTCACTACCTTGTAACCATCACCTGACCCCAACCATCCTCACTCCCATCCAACCCTGCCTCACTCTCCGTCAACACCCCTCCCCCCAGCACTGGAGTATCATGTTCTCCCAACAATATTATTTTGGAAGCAAATCCCAGACATTATATCATTTCATCTGCAAATATTTCAGTATATAGTTCTAAAACATAAGGCCCTGTGGTATAATTTAACTGTCCTCTGAGTCTTCTGCAAAGACTGCTAGATCTAGACTCTGAGGACTCTGATAAGACTCAGGTTTTTCTGGGTGAGACTTGCCTGGCCATGGTGGCGTGTTCTCCTGTCAGAGGGTGCCAATCGGCAATTCTTACTTTACGTTTTGAGCACTCAGTACTCAGTCCCTGCCGCAGCAGCTCCTTGGGTGGTGTAAAATGGTGCTTCCTTATTTCTTTTCTGGAATATTTCTCTAAAAGAGAAAATTTCCCTCACGTACCCAGTAGTAGTTTGTACAATAAAGGAACAGTAAATGCTAGCTTCTTTCCCTTTATTTATCCATCTTCAATATAAGGAGCTGCTTCCCTAAAATCCTCCAACAGCAAATAATTGTTTTAAGTATCATTATGATTTAAGTGTTTGATGTGTTTCAATCCACTGAAGTTATTTTTATTATTTACATCCAAATTGTCCCATTTTTCTCCAAGTTATGTTCTGAGTCCCTTGGAAATGATCCCAGTGGCCTTTGAGGCTACCAACCCTTGTTTATGTTCTTCGTGCCCCTGTCCTTTCCCTTCTCACACTGTCCCCCCCCAGCCCCTCCAAATCGGAAGGATAAGACCTTATGCTACAAACATCCTCCATTTACAGTTTTCCTCAGCTGTAAAATGGGGATGATAATAGGGCATTATGATAATCCTACCTCACAGAGTTGTTAACGAGTTTATAACTGTAAAGCACTCAGAACAGTGTCTGCCACAAAGTAAGCGCTCTGTAAGTATTCATCAAATAAATAACATCCCCTACCTGCCACTCACCTCCACGTTTCTCAGTCATCCCACCCTTGTCTCCCTTCCTCCAGTCTCCAAGCACGATTACAGTTTCTCTTCCCAAATTGTTTGACCATCGATGTATCATTTACTCAGTTCAGGGAACAAGCATTGCCCAATTCCACAGTGGATTCATTTCTTGGGGAAAATGGAAACTCTTCTCTTGCAATCCACTTGCAGAGCTGGGCAAGCTCCAATACACGTTTCAGCCTGCAGGCACAGCTTTCTAGCTGGGAACATCTCTCTCTTCTGACCCCCTGGTAAGTTAGCGCAGTGACTGCTGGCCTCCTCGCGTGAGAGCTGTACACACTGACTTCAACTGTCCTAACGAGTTGGCTGAACCCTCCTGCGGCCAAGTTTTCTCCCCACCTCCAGGCTTCTGAAGTTCTGCTTAGGCACGTAGCTGCCGAGACCCAAGACCAAGCAGGCTCTGGACTCCGTGCTCTTCCCTCTGGCCAGCTGCTCCCTGCATAGGTCGAGAGTGCTGCAGGCCTGGAATGTCACGGACCTTCTGGGACTTTCTGTTAGGGTCCAAAATGACTTAAACTAGCAGTTTCCCGTCAGATAGAGAAAAAGTAGGTGCCAAAGAAGGGGTAAATTCTAAAAGAAAGGTAGGAAGGGACCGGCTGTCTGCAGGATTTCTTAGGCCCAAAGCCGGCCTTGGCCTGCACCGGAGCCCCCAGCACCCTGGCCCTGGCAAGGCTGGAATGCTGGGGAGGTGTCGTTTAACTGCCATCATGGCCTTCCTTGTGGACCTGCATGGCCTCAGAGTAGGGAGCGGGTGCATAGCAGGCCAGGGAAGCGCCTGCCAAATTTTAAGATGGGCTTATCCCACCGCTATTTGTAGAGCTCAGTCCCTACCTCGGTGTGCCCTGGTGACCCCCATTCTCGCCCTCTCTCCTGACCAGCTGCAGAAAGGAAAGAAAATCCCTTGGCTCCAAAATGAAATCCGGAGAACCGAAGACAAGCCTAAAGAAAGCCTACCCGTCATCTGCCAAGAGGCTGTCGCTGAAGGCAGAGGAGGAGGAGGAGGAGGAGGAGGACTACTGTACCCCCGGGGCCTTCGAGCTGGAGCGGCTCTTCTGGAAGGGCAGTCCCCAGTACACCCACGTCAACGAGGTCTGGCCCAAGCTCTATGTCGGTGACGAGTAAGTGCCCAGGCCTGGCCTCCCTGTGGCCTCTCCCAAGCCCCCACCCTGAGCCACCTCCTAGCCATGAGCTTAGGATCTTTAGGTTAGCTGTTCTGCGAGAACTCAGTTAGGGCTGGGCTTATCTTCCTATTACAGAAAACCCAGACAAAGCACTTAAGCAAGACAGAGGTTTATTTCTCTCTCGCTGTATGTCTGGAGGAAGACGGGCTGGTGCTGGCATGGCGATCGCAGGGCCATGAGGGACTCAGGCGCCTGTGTTTCTGCTCCACCGTCCTGGGGACATGGCTTCCTGCCTCAAGGGTCCCAGATTGCTGGTGGGGCTCCAGGCATCAGCTGTAGGATCCAGATGGCAGGAAGGTGGAGGGAAAGGAAGAGCAAAGGGGGATCTTTCCAAAGGGATGTCCTACCTAAGACTTCCCTTGCTCCTAGCTGCAAGGGAGGCTGGGAAATGTAGTTTTTTATTTAAGATGGGTATAAATAACACCATCAAGAATAAAATCAATTCTCAGGTTGATGGCACAGGAGTACATCAACCTATGTGTCCGAAAGGATGGTACGCCTAAATTGAGGTTGCTGTCACCTCCTTTAGATTTTTATAGCCACCATTTCCCACTCCCTTAAACAATTGAGTTGTGCCTACTGTAAATAATGTTAATAATGATAATGCCTATCATTTATGGAACACTATATGTCACGCACTGTGCTAAGCATCTTGCACGCATGATCTCACTTTATTCTCCTGATAACTCAATGAAAGAGTTTATCTAATTACTTTCATTTTAAGATTCAGGAAACCAAAGCATTGAGCAGTTAAGTAACCGGCCCAAGGTCCCACAGCTCAGTAGGTAGCAGACAGCTGAGATTCAAATGTAGCTCTGCCTGACACAGAAGGCTTGTTTTTAACTTCCACGGCTGTTCCTCCCTCCATCCTCCGGGAACCAGCTCAAGTGCCATCTCTCCAAGGAGCAGGTGGTGCAGGACCTCTGCAGGGGTGATTTTAATACCCATCTTGCTGCTTAACCTGGAGGTAGCTGTCCAGCCACGGGAAGATCAGGGGCATCATCCTTTGTCTTTTTATTTTTCTTAATTTTTTCAAATTTAAAAAGTTACAAGCATTACATATCTTTTTATACTAGATTAAACTAAATAGAGGTTATAAAAACAAACCGCATAATCTCCCTTTGTGCCCTCTTAATCCTCCCACTGACTAACCAGTATTGAGTTTACTTGCATATTTCTACCACTTTATATAGGCTATTGCAAACATAAGGAAACATATACACACATATAAAGAGTTTCCATTTCTTTTAAACAATAAAAAAAATGAATCATACCATATATACTGTCATGTACTTTTACTATGCCACAGTGCCACAATTTAGCCAATCATTTCCCAGTTTTGAGCATTAGAAGAATGTAGGAGAAGGGTACACACTACTTTCTGAACCATTTTCATTTTTAAATTCATCTTTATTGAGATATAATTCACATATCATAAGATTCACCCTTTCAAAGTATTCAATTCAGTGTTTTTGTTGTGTTTACGTAGTTGTGCAACCATCACCCCTATCTAATTTCAGAACATTTTTGTCACCTCAAAAGGAAATCCTGACCCATTAAACAGTCATTCCGATTTCCTGTCTTTCCCACAGGGCCTCACAACTGCCAAGCTACTTTCTGTTTTTATAGACTTACCTATGCCAGATATTTTATCTAACTGGAATCATATAATATGTGGCCTTTTGTGACTAGATTTGTTTTACTTTGCATAATGTTTTCAAGGCTCATCCAAGTTGTAGAATGTATCAGTATTTTGTGCCTTTTTACTGACAATATTTGTACTATTTTTGCAACTTTCCTGTGAATCTAAAACTAGTTCAAAATAAAAAAGGTAAACACACATACATTTTGACCCAAAATACCACTTCGAGAAGTGTTAAGTCACAGAAATAAGAGTATCAATACATAAGAAATATGTAAAACCATGCTTATTATAATGCTGTTTGAAGCAGCAAAAAGGGGGGGAGAGGATCTGCATCTCTTATCTTTTAATAAAAAAATATCAAATAAATGTAATATATATTTCCTTTATAAAAGTAATACATGCCCACTGTATAAATAGAGAAATCTTAGTTTCCCTATTTGTGATAGGATAATAAGAAAACCTCCTAGGGTTATATGGGTTAAGTGAGATAAAGTATGTGAAATAGTGCAGGGCCTAGCACGCAGTCAGCACTCAGTAAAGGTTAGCTATGATAATAAAATAGTGACTAATGGCCGGGCATGGTGGCTCATGCCTGTAATCCTAGCACTCTGGGAGGCTAAGGCAGTCAGATTGCTCAAGGTCAGGAGTTCGAGGCCAGCCTGAGCAAGAGTGAGACCTTGTCTCTACTATAAATAGAAAGAATTAATTGGCCAACTAAAGATATATATATTAGCCGGACATGGTGGTGCATGCCTGTAGTCCCAGCTACTCTGGAGGCTGAGGCAGGAGGATTGCTTGAACCCAGGAGTTTGAAGTTGCTGTGAGCTAGCACTCTAGCCCGGGCACCAGAGTGAGACTGTCTCAAAAAAAAAAAAATAGTGATTAATGTCAGAAAGAAAAATTTTCAGTCTCCCAAAGCAATCACCAAAGCCCATCTTCACTCCAAAGACACTACTATTAATATTTAAGTACATTTCCTCCCAGCCTTTCTGTGTATTATTTTTGATTTTGAAATTTGTTTTTATATAGTTGTACTAATATTAATAATTCATTTAATCTTATTTTTTCACATAGCATCATCTGTAAACATTTCCCCTTATTAAACGTATATCTCTTATACATTTAATTATAACAGATATATTATAATTAATGTTCTTACTTTTATAAACAATGTTGCAGTGGACATCTTTATGCAGAATTTTATTTTTCTATATTTAGGATTATTTCCTTGGGTCTGAACCTGGGAATGTACACCTGGGGGAAGAGGAATTAAGATTTTAAGATTTACACTGTCTCTGTGTCATTATCCATGCTGTTCCCTTTGCCTAACATGTCTTTCCCAGCCTGAGCAAGAGCAAGACCTTGTCTCTACCAAAAACAGAAAGAATTAGCCGGGCATGGTGGCACATGCCTGTAGTCCCAGCTACTGGGGAGGCTGAGGCAGGAGGATCGCTTGAGCCCAGGAGTTTGAGGTTGCAGTGAGCTATGCTGACGCCACGGCACTCTAGCCAGGGCAACAGAGTGAAACTCTGTCTCAAAAAAGAAAAAAAAAGTCTTTCCCTTTACCCCATCTCTGTGTCCAGGTCCTATGCATGCTTCAAAGTCCACTCAAGGTACTTCTGCCATGAGGCTACTTTCCTCCTATCCCTATATCAAGAAGCAAGTTTTTTCTCTCTGTATGTTACATACTATATTTGACTTTCCTCTAATAATACTACCTAAGTTGTATTGAATTCTTTTTTTTTTTTTTTTTTTTTTGACACAGAGTCTCACTCTGTTTCTCCAGCTAGAGTGAGAGCTGTGGCATCAGCCTAGCTCACACCAACCTCAAACTCCTGGGCTCAAGTGATCCTCCTGCCTCAGCCTCCCGAGTAGCTGGGACTACAGGCACGTGCCATGAATTCTTATGTCTTGCGCCTTTGCTCGGCATCCTTTAAACTCCAACCCTACGAAGGAGAAACTATTATCGCTCCCATTTTACAGATGGGAAAGCCAAGGCTCAGAGAGTTCATTCATTCAGTCAGTAAGCATTCACTGGGCACCTTGCGAGGAGCTGTGGCAGACACAAAGAAGAAACTTAGGCTCTAAGAAATTAAGAGACCAGCCCAAAGTCCCATCACTAGTAAGTGGAAGAATTTACACTCAAACCCAGATCAAAATAAATAAATAAATAAACCATGTCAGTTAGGTAAAGACAGAGTTGAGGAGAAGAGATGTGTAGGAGTCTAACAGGGAACAGAAAGAGAAGTAGGTGGCGGCACCCCTACTCGAGCCTGGGGTATGCGTCTTGGCTCTGCCAATTACCAGTTGTGTGACCTTGGACAAGTTATTTCTACCTCCCTTCACCTTATAGGCAACAATAACAGAGCATATCTCAGGGGGTGAAGATTAAATACAAGAACGAGTGCTAGACTTGTATCTGGCACACAGTAAACGCTTGGTAAGTGCCTGGTGTGGTCGCGGATCTGAGAAAGGTCACAGAAGAGGTGGATCCCAAGCTTGACTTTGGAAGATGGGCAGGATTTCAAAGAAATTCCAGGCAGAGGGAGCAGGGCGAGAAAAGCTGTGGAGGTGAGACCAAACAGGGCGATTTATCTGGAATTAACAGGCTGGATGCGGTGCACTTTCAGAAGGTCTGAGATTAAGCCGAATTCGACCACTGGGTGGTCAGTTTAGGTTAGCTGCACTAATCTAACGGGTCACCCCGACATCTCGGTAGCCTGCCACAGCGATGGTTTGTTTCTCACTCATGCTGCAGATGACGATGGGCTGGCTCTGGCAGGGTGCCACGGCCACTTTACTCCGGGACTCGGGCTGATGGAGCAGCCCCTATTTGAGATCTTGCCGGGCTTGTAGCAGAGAGAATAGAGAGACTTGGCAAACATAAACTGGCTTAGAGGTGACACATGCCATTTTTGTCCATATGTCACTGGCCAAAGCAAGTCCATGTCAAAGCCTCCCATCAACGGGGCAGGAGAGTATAACCTACACCCAAGGAGGGGCAGGAAATATTCTAAACAGTCACACAATCAATCTGCCATAGCCACTTGGTAGTGCAGTGGGTTTGGGCAGGTCCTTTTTTACCTTTCGAGGCCTAACTCTAAAAATGGTTACTGAGAATCTTCAAAGAAATAAGGAATGTAAAAGCATTTCATAAATTATAAAGTAATAGACAGATACAAATGTTATTCTTATTATTGTCACTTAGTGGAAAAGAAGTCTGGAAAGGTAGGTCAGGGCCACCTTGTGGGAGGCTGAATGCCAGCCAAGGGACTTAATGCAGGAAGCCATT